CATCCAGCCCCGCTCCAACCCGCATCCAGCCCCGCTCCAACCCGCATCCAGCCCCGCTCCAACCCGCATCCCGCCCCGCTCCAACCCACATCCAGCCCCGCTCCAACCCGCATCCAGCCCCGCTCCAACCCGCATCCAGCCCCAGCTCCGGGGCCAGGGCAGGACCCACTGCGGGACTCTTGGGCTCTTCCCAGCCCCAGGAGCCCCCCCGCTCCAAAATGGATCCAGGAGCGCGCGGACGGCTCCCGAGCTCGCGCCCTTCCGGCCTCGCAGCGACGCTCCAGAGACCCTCCCGGGGCGCCCGGCTGGTCGCATGAACATGTTTATTACCGACGTCGTGTCCCGAGCGGCAAGGCCAGGAGGAGCCCGTGCGCGGACAAGGGCGGTCGGAGGAGCGCGGAGCCTTGGGATAGGGACATGCTGCAAGCCCGGTTCCCTGGACAGGCATGGGGCCTTAGGATCTGTGCCCGGCGCCCCGTGTGGCTCTGCATCCCTGCACTCCGTGGGGCCCTTCCCAGGATGCTCTGGGAGCTGCTCCAGGCTGCCCGCTCCGCAGGGTTGCTGTTCCGCAGACCTCCAGCTCCCTCGCGCACGGTGCTCGAGACGGACGCAGCACGGATGGGAATCCTGGGGACTTGGGGGGCGTCTCAGCCAGGGGGAGCGATCAGAGGGGTGAGATCCTGAGCTAATACAGAGGGCACTTGGCGGCCACAGACACTGTCCGTGTGCATAGCCTGGAGGCCACCGCAGCAGGGGCTCTGGGTTAAGGCGACAGACGGTGGCGCCCCCCTTTTGGGGGAATGGATGGGGGACGGGACCGGGGGAAAGGGGCCCTCCTCCAGCCGCTGCCCCCAGGGCAACTCCCGGCCTGGGGGCAGGTACTTGGACTGGGAGAGACCTCCAGGATAGAGGCTGGGTGTCCCCGAGCGGCCTGGGGACTGTGGCCTGTGCCAGGGGACACCCCGTGCTGCCAAAACACCATCCCGGATCTGAGCACCGGGATAAGCAGCCAGCTGGATGCACTGCTCCCTGTGCAGTACAGGGCAGCCTGCCAGCCCGGCAGGGAGACAGGGAATCCTGCAGCATCCTCTGCACTGGGTGCTGCCCCAGAGGTGCCTCTCCGCGGGGCTTTCCCCACGCTCCCTGCCTTGAGGACAGTGCAGCCCGGCTTACACCAGCCTGGTCTTCCTTACGCGCCGGGAGCAGCAGAAGCTCTGCAGAGCCTGGGGACAGCGATCCCCGGCTCCTCTGGGGACACACAGGAGGCTCTTATGTCTTGCAAGGCCACTCTAGTGCAAGGCAGCTGTCCCCGGAGCGTGGAGAAGCAGGATAAGGCTGTGCACTGGAAAGGGGCAGGCGAGGAGAACTCGTGGTCTGCATTGCTGTGACTCTGCCACGCTCTGTCTGTCACATGGGGAAGGCCAGAGAGAGCGGGGAGAGGCGCAGGGGATCTGCTGCCTCTGCCAGAGCCTGGTCCTGGTGAGGAGGAGAGAGGAAGGCTGGCAGGAGAGGAGCACCCGGGTTCAGCAAGCCATGGTGCTGAAGAAGGCATTGGCTTCCAAGAGCAGCCCCTTGGCGTAGGCCCGCAGGGTGTAAAAGAGGGTGACGAAGTCCTGAGTGCTGAAGAGGGTGTCGGCCAGGGCGAAGGCGAGCGTGGAGGGGATGAAGCCCCGGCCGTACTCCACCATCCAGGTGCCCGCGCTCCACTGCACGGACGTGGCCTCTCCCGCCTGGTGCACGATGGTGTCCCCTGCCAACACACGCGGGGGCTGTTACTGCCACTGATGGATGGTGCCCCAAGAGGGGACATGTGGGGCCCCAAATCACAGTGCTGAGCACCCCGAGTTGTGTGCCAGGTTGGCCTCTAAACCCTCCCCGGACTTGCTCGCTGGGGAAACCAGCCCCCTCCCTACCCCTAGCACCCACTGCTACGCTGGGATACACCCAGGGGCTATCAAGTCACCCGTGTGGAGCTCTCGGCTTCTGTCACTCTGTACCATGGCACAGGACCAGGCCCCAGAGCAGCCGTGGGCACAGCCGGGCACTGCTGCTCCCCCGCTTACCTGGGTAGTAGATCTCGCTTCTGGTGGTTCCCTCTTTCCACTGCCGGAAGGTCCCCGAGATGACGGTGTCAGAGATATCTGCCCAGTACCGACCTGGGGGAGCACACAGAGCCTCAGCTCAGCGCGTGCCTGGCTCTGCCTCGTGGAGAGGGGCAGCTCCGTGGCTCCGAACGCAGGACAGGAAGGACATCAGCCTGGGGGGGTCAGCGCGGACCGGGAAAGCTCAGAGGTCCCAGCGGGATGAGACTGGCACCCGGACCCGCTGTGTAACCACATCCTGACAGCCGGAGCTGCCCAGTGCCTTTATGTCTCCTTTGCTCCCAGCCTGTCTGGCACCGGCTCCATCGTGAAGTGAGGGGAGATGCAGAGCCAGCCAGAGACACAGAGCCAGTTGGACACACGGTTCCAGTTGGAGACGCGGTTCCAGCTGAATACGTGGTGCCAGTTGGAGATGCGGTCCCCGCTGCCCAGCACTCCATGTGCTGGGCCCCGTCTCGGCTGCAGCGGAGGCGGCAGCCGCAGGAGGCACCGCGTGAGCGAGGCTGCTGCCCGGCCCCGGCCGGGGAGAGGCCGCGCCGCTTGGTTAGAAACAGCAGCTTATTGAACACCCGCTGGTCACGGCTCCGCTCCGGGGCTGGCTGCGAGCCCAGCCTGCCAGGACACCGGGACAGCTGCCCAGGTGTCCACGCGGAGCCCCGGCCGCCCCACAGCCCTTTCCCACAGGAGGGCTGCCGGCAGCCGCCAGGGCACCGCGTCCCGGCAAACACGGACTCTGCCCGGCCGCGGTGCCCGCCTGCGTGCGGCGGCTCCGTGCACAGCCGGCCCCTTCGCTGCACAGGACCCAGAGCGCCCCACGGGCACCCCCGTGAGCCTGGCGACCCACGGCTCGGCATTAAAACACATCCCGTGACACTGTTAACGCGGTGCCAGCGCCAACGAGGCCGAGCGGCGGGGCAGGCAGCGCTGCGGGGCTCGGGGACCGCGTCACGGCGTCCAAGGCACCAGCAGGAACACACGGTCGGTCCGCGGGGTGGGACCCCCGTCTTACCCGAGTGCCCGCCGGTGTCGACGGCGGTGCCGAAGAGCAGCACGTACTCGGTGAGCGAGGCGTGCAGGAGGCACATGGAGCCCATCCAGCCGCCCGCGTTCACGAACACCCACTGCAGGTCCTCGTCCGGCAGGATGTGGCCCGGGTGCCTCTTGCGCAGCTCCACGATGATCTTGGAGAAGGCCAGCTCGTGGTCCAGCCCTGCGGCGCCCGAGGGGCCGTGAGGGGTGGCCGGCGCCCCCAGCCCCTCCGCGACCTCCTGCAGCCGCGGCTCCAGCATCTCCAGCATCTCCAGCATCTGCTCCGCAGGGGCCTCCGCGGGGGGCTGCTCCCTCCCCGGTGCTGGGCACGGGTGGCCCTGCCTGGGCCCCTCTGTCCGCGGCTTTCCCGGCGTTCCCGCTGCCCCGTGCGCTTCCTCTGCCGGCCCCATCCCATCCCGCTGCTCCCAGGCCCAACCCCAGCCCCCCTGACCGGTGCTGCTTCCCGGCTCCCAGTCTCCCTCCATCCTGCTCCCAGCTCCCCCCGGTCCCTCCTTGATCCCAGTCCCACTTCCCTGTTCCCAGTCTCCCCACCATCCCAGTCTCCCTCCATCC